CCCCAAAACCCCAAAACCCCAAAACCCCAAAACCCCAAAACCCCGGAATGATCCCGCCAAATTTATATACTTAAAATAATTTTAATGGAATCTCAAGGAAGTAATACAATGAGAGGTAAGCTCATAGGTAGTTAAAACATGAAATAGCCATGTGTTTTCTTCATTAAATGCACCTGTTTTCTTGGCTGCTGTGGCCGTCGTTGGGAAACTTTATAAAAATATGTGTCTTAGATGTTTTAGTGTCCAGCTCCAGAAGACTTGCAAGAAAGAGAACAACTACGCTTAAGAAGACAGACTCAGAACACCCTATTCATAAGAGAATGAAGACTGGAAATGACAATGATTCAATTAAAGAAATAGGCTCCTCCAACGGCTACAGTCAAAATTCTGAAGGAATAATGAATCTCGAAAGAAAAACAGGTGGTATTAACTCAGAAGCCGCGATGTCTTTTAATAACACCTTTCAGTTGAATAAAGATAAAACCTCTGACTCCTTTTTCAAAAGCGACCTAAAGATCCCAAATGATACCCAAAATAAGAGTCTAAAGCTCAGACGCTGCGAGACTGAGCACCTCAGAGCATGTGAGGACCTCGAAAACGAAGAAGACCCTGGTGAAAATGCCCCAGAATCCTCTTCTCATATCTTTCAAAATTCACCTCAAGCAGAAACTTCCAGCCAGGGTGTCCCTAAGCACCTTGCTGCAAAGAAACTGTCCATCTCTAGACAAAAGAGTGCACTCGACCGGCAAGAACTAGACGTCGCCAGGATGGTCACCCAGAGCAAGGTCATGGAGAAGAAGATCACAGAGATTAGTAGAAGTCTGACTGTGACTAAGATGAAGAAGTGTATGATTAAGGAAGCACTGGTCAAGTATATTGTTAAGACTGAGGAATTACAGAGGAGGGAGAAGAAAATTTAACACCAAAGAGCAACAGCACAGATTAGGGAGGTTCGCTGAGATCCATTCTAGTGGTCAATACAAGACAGTTTGGGAGGAAGGAGAAGAATTTAAGAAGCTCAACTCAGAGCTTTTGCAGCTTGAGGAAGAAAAAGAGCGCATTGATAAGTTAAAGAAGAGTCTTAAAGCCCGCAAACATCACGAAGCCACCGCCAGTGGCGAAGGTAGTGAAGACTCTATTGTCAAAAATGATCAGGAATACCAGATGAAGCTTGATTTGAGAGAACAGAAGGAGATTTTGAATTTTAAGGCAGGAATCACTCTGAAAATGATCAAAGAAGTCAAAGACAAGCTCGAAGCTCTAAGAAAAGAAAAAGTTCTGTTTCAGGTCGAACTAGCTCGTATGAAGGAAGAAGCTTCATATCGTAACGGAATATTTAAAAATAGGTATGAAATTTTGAAGGACAGATATTTGATTCTTTCACTTCTTGGCAAAGGAGGATACTCTGAAATTTATCGCGCCTATGATCTTGAAAACTGTAGAGAAGTCGCATGTAAGATTCATCACTTCGACAACAGCTGGACTGAGAGCCTCAAATGCAATTATATTAAGCATGCTCTGAGGGAGAACAAGACCCATAGAGAACTTAACCACCCAAGGGTGGTGAAGCAATATGATACAGTTGAGATTGATAATAATTCATTCTGCACCATTCTAGAATTATGCAGTGGCCCAGACCTATCTGTCTATCTGAAGCTGCACGGTAGAATCCCTGAGAAGGAGGCTAAACTGATCATCTCCCAGATTCTCTCTGGATTGAAATACCTGAACGAAAGAGAAAAGAGAATCATCCATTATGATTTGAAACCCCAAAATATTTTGTTTCATAAGGGTGAAATCAAAATTTCAGATTTTGGATTATGAAAAGAACTTGAAGGAGATACTGACAAAATTGAGTTAACCAGCCAAGGAGTCGGTACATATTGGTACCAGCCACCAGAATGCTTCGAGATCGGCCCTGATCCAGCCATGATAAACTCCAAAGTTGATGTCTGGAGCGTAGGAGTCATATTCTATGAACTCCTCTACGGTTTCAGACCATTTGCTGATAAACTTCCACAACAAAAAATATTAAAGGAAAGAAGCATTCTAAAGGAAGCCAAACAGATCCATTTCCCTGGCACTGTGAAGGTATCGGCAGAGACCAAAGATTTCATCAGAAAATTATTGAGCTACAACATCGAGGAGAGATTTAGTGTGGAGGAGGCTTACTTTGAGGCATATTCGACCTCTATAAGTAATTTGTAATAACTTTAATTTCAACTGATAAAAAATTTAAAGGGGTTTTGGGGTTTTGGGGTTTTGGGGTTTTGGGG